TTCAGCCGGGCAGATGATTGCCTGTTCGTGACCTTTGCCACCTACACGGAACCTGTTTGCTTCGAGAAGCCAAATAGATCGATTTGCGCCTACTTCTGATTTAATAAATACCCAATCTGCAGCGACAGAGAATGACGGGTGGCGAGGCACTGATGGACTTCAGTTCGATGAAGTACTTACGACCCATCTGCTAGACCCCCTCTGTGGACCATTTGCGCCGTGTGAATGACAGCAGGAACCGTGACTTACACGTGAATTAGTTTGTAGTGACAGTAGACTTGGGCGTCCCCTACTTCACTCCGCCCCTCCCCCCTCCCCCCCATCTGGACTTGCTGTCATGAGAGAGTGAAGAAGACTGGAGGTGGAATTAGATGCAGATGGCTTGCACGATATAAACCCGCACCTAGACACACCACCACCCTCTCTGGTCTATAACGCACACTACCAGGGTTTTAAACAACAACAAAAATGCAGATGGCAAGAATCCCAATATGGGCGGTGTGTGCCTACAACTGGACCTGCCACCACAACTCGAATTTGGGCATTTGTTATGGGCGCGCATTCCCAAAAACGCCTGCCGGACTCCGATTTAACCCCCGTGCTGGTCCAACGCATCCACCATTTGACACGTTTTAGAGACTACCATTCGTACATCGTATCAGTCCATCTATTGATGCTGCTTATGAAGCATAGAACACGGTTCACATCACTGCAGAATTTTATGGGCCGTCTATGACGTATTCTTCGCAATGCAGAGAAATGCTTGATTCCCCTTACACGGAAACTATACAGCAAGTAGTTTGAAAACATCAAGTGCAAGTGCAACTACAAATCAGATTCGAAGTTATTCGGTAATCGAGAAAGCTTTTTAAAACTGAAAGATACGCCGGACGTCATTCTACTATTCTCCAGCTCTTGACGCATCGGGTAACGTCCGGGTTCCTATATGATTGGCATGATATTGCAGAAGTAAATTATTGTCATTCAAGGTATGGGGGTCCACTGTCTGTGAGTCACTCATTGCTCCCCCAGGAGAGTACCGTCGCACATCGTAGATTAATCTCTGTCCAAACATTTGAGGTAAAAACTGGTATTCAAGCCGTTTCTTCGTCCCTGCCAGGTTTTTTGTATGAACCCTCCTACATTCATCTGAATTCCCCCGAACCCAAAGGTCCAACAACAGCCCGGTCACCTTCTGCCGTGCCAGTTATCGCCAAAGCCCTCTCCAACGGGAACGCCACCTCATCAGATAATAATTGACGACCTTATTGAAGACATGCTAAGCTCACCTGTGCACTATTCGCAACATCGGGAGAACCAACAAGGTTCTGGCACGCTGGCGACCAGTTAGTCCTGCCATTTTAGGGCAGGATTCTAAGCCTGTTCACGCTAATTTCACGGAGAAGCCTTAACTGTCCGGTAAAAAGCCTTTAATTGCCGTGAGAAATGGGTCGAAAAGGTTCAAAGAAGACTTATGATTGCAGGGCAACTATTAAGCAGGGGGATCTTTAAAACAGCTTCTTTAATAAGCAAACCGGTGCATTTATTGATCGAAATAGTCAGTCTCGGTCACCAAATAATAAATAAAGATTAGCCATTGCCTTGGCAAGGCGAAAATGCCTAAGCAACATGGTGGACAAAACGAAATGCCTGCTGAACCGCATCTCGCATTAAACTAACAGAACCGGGTTGGTGATTTTCCTCCAAGCAGTCAGTTCATAGTAATCTGGACAAAATTTAGCATACATGAGACGACAACAATTATATGAATTTGGACTTTTTTTTATAAAAACAGGCGTTGAAAAGCAAACCAAGAAAGTTTGGTCGGCCGGTGTGTCCGAACACATGTCTGTTGGTCTTTCAACTGCACAGTCTGGAGGCATTTTTTGGTCAAAACTGTGTGTGCAGGTATTTCAAAAGTTGAAAACCGTCAATACTTGTTAGGCATCGCAGGACAGGCATAGATCAACTAACGGAGTTTTCCACCCAAGTGGACCTTTGTCGATACTGTTTAGAGTTTTACGGATTGTGTATATGAGCTCGGTTCTTCGATTCACGAACTTAACTTACCCTCAACGGGTCACTTCGTTGAATAAGGACAGTGTTACACAAGAGAGTTTGAGCTGCTGTATTGCAAAGCTTGTTATAAAGCCGTCAATGTCAAGTTACAAACTATATGGAATTCACCCTAGTGTTTCTGGGAAATGTACCTTGCCTGTCGTTGCCGGACTTCGATACCGTTTAAAAGCATGACATCCTAAGCTCCATTTAAATTATATTTTCGTCATTATGAAAGGGTGTTGACTGAACAAGA